TTTCTGAAGGTATGTCTTTCTGACAGTCAGTCAATTTGCCGAAGGTATGTCTTTTTGACAGTCAGTCAATTTTCTGAAGGTATGTCTTTCTGACAGTCAGTCAATTTGCCGAAGGTATGTCTTTTTGACAGTCAGTCAATTTGCTGAAGGTATGTCTTTCTGACAGTCAGTCAGTTTTCTTGTCATGTCCCTTTCGAAAGGGTCCAAATTTTAGATATGGAAACACAGCGTATTCCAAATTTATTCCCTTGAAACAAATTACGACAGGTAATAACTGGAGGGGCACTTAGTAGAGCGCAGATCACCACCAGGCAGTGTTGATCATATTCGGCCGTCAAAAAAAATAATCAAAAAACGTGTCTGTATGTCCGTTGTTATCAACGGACACGGACTATTTTTGGCAAGACAATGAGGAATAATATTCTACATATATCCACCAAGTTTCGTTAAAATCCGATCATTTTTGACTGAGTTATAGAGTAAAAATAGTGTGAAAACTAAACACTTCTAAACTGGGTCATAGTTCAAACGTACACCAACTTTAGTCCAAATCCATTCAGCCATTTTCGAGAAATCCTACTGACAAACACACACACATACACACAGGGATGAAAATATAACCTCCGTCACCTTCGGTGGGGGAAGTAACTATACAAGTAGGGACTACTCCTAATCTCTTCCCTCGGAAACACATTTTTTGTTATTTATTTTTAATTCCTGTAAACTCCCAGTGGAGCATAGGGCCGCAACAACACCTCGCCAACGGAAGAGGTTGTTGCAGTTACTTGTAGCAGGTTGATTTATACGGGGTGGAGTTGCTAGCCCCGCGCCCAACCGTCCCACTTACTCATCCTGGACTTGGTACCAGTCAAAGGCGGAGGTTGGCATGGTTGGTGTGACGGGGATTCGAACCCGCAACCCTCAGATTGCGAGTTAAGCGCCCCTTAACCACCTGGCCATGCCGGGCCTCGGAAACACATTAAGACGGACATATTTCCTTCTGAACTCAGTCTGCTGGTTGAATATTAAGTTAGAGACTGAGTTGTTTCTGGTTTAGAATAGAAAATATATGACGGTTTGTGGATTAAAAATTATTACTTCCGAAAATCTACCTGATCTGAGTTTCTTCAAAAATTTCCATTTCTGTCATATCTATTTACGGCCTGGAGTTGCTTCATTCGGTGAAATTTAATTTTGACGGAGTTTCACGTGTTATTGTTTACAATATAGGTACTATTCAGAAAGACATGTAACCGTTTCTGAGAATACAACACCCAGTCTGCTAACGTTACTGAAATATCACAAGCACTGAGGCTTACATTTTCTCAGTATCACTAACCCTCGTGTTAGACAAATGGAAACCTCGCTAAAAAAAATGTTTTATATTCATTTAATTATTTATCCCGTTTTTAATCGACGTGTACAAGGAATAGCATCATTAAAAATATATTCAAATTTACATTTATGATTCTTTATGACAAGTTGCCAAGCAACCGAAATATATGTAAACACGCATGCTCCATGCATGTGCAGAACTTAACAATGAAGCTAGGCCTAATGGCAACACAGTTACAGAAAAAATTATGCAAATACATACCGGAAAAATCTGGTAAATACGCCATGTTTGTTTGTTTCAGTATTTTTTTTCGCGCAAACTTACACAAAAGGCTATCTATGCTAGCCGTCCCTTAATTTAGAACTGATAGACTGGAGGGAAAACAGCTAATCAACAACAGCCACCGCCAACTCTTGGGCTACTCCAATCGAATTGGAAAATCCCTCGTATGTCCACGGTTCCAAACAACGGACCACGATTTTGGTGCAACGGGACACGAACCGTGGACCATCGAAATCACAGACCCTTTGGAAAGATGAAACGTATTTGACACACTAAACTAATCTCGTGTTTTGTGAAGAATTGTTAAATCAACATAAAATAGAATTCAAATCAAAATGATTAAAAGAAAGCAAGCTTTATTAGTAATTAGGAACATATTTTAAACAATGAGCAAACAACAACAACAACAAAGAATTAAATAACTTTGAAATGAAGCACTTAGTATTACTTAACATATACTAACAGATGTAAAAAGTACTTTATCACGGTCGTGACCTGTTTTTTATTTCCTTTTATTTAGTCTTAAACTCGTTCGTTAAGTAAAAAATTGGTTAAGCCTAAAACGATGACGTTTACGTAAAGAATGAAGATATAAAGTAAAATACCACGAACAACAACAACAAAATATAAGCACAAACCAAAAGTTGAAGGATGCCGCATCACCCATTAGATAAAATATATGAAGTTACCCTTACTTACCCCACAATTTCCCCAAAACATATTTTTTCCCTTTTAATAGAAATAACATCATTCGAAATAATTTAGGTTTAGTCAAACAAGGGCCTTTGTGTACGTCGCGGGGGGTAATTAATTTCCGTTTTGCGCGTCTTCAGAGATGAACAACAATCTGTTTTTCCGTGTTCATTTGTTTTCTCAGACACTGATGAGTTCCGTTTCGCAATGAAGATAAAATAAACATTTAATGCGAGAGAGAAGAAAAGGGTAGTGGCGATGGTAGCTCCACCTAGAAGCCATGTAAAATGTACAGAAAGCGCGGCTGTTTCGGTTTTGGAATCTTCTAATTTCTCTGTAAATAATAAACAAAAACGTTACAAATATTAACTACAGAAGAAAAAAAATACAAGACTCAATTTTTTTATAGTTTCGAGTGAATCATACCATGAATCCTGATAAAGACAGATCAAATTTACAATGTTGTATAAAAATAGATAAAATTTACATTGTTGTATAAAAACAGATAAAATTTACATTGTTGTGTTTTTATACAACAATGGATACTTGATCTGTTTTTATACAACAATGTAAATCTATCTGTTTTTATACAACAATGGATACTTGATCTGTTTTTATACAACAATGTAAATCTATCTGTTTTTATACAACAATGGATACTTGATCTGTTTTTATACAACAATGTAAATGTATCTGTTTTTATACAACAATGTAAATTTGATCTGTTTTATACAACAATGTAAATGTATCTGTTTTTATACAACAATGGAAATTTTATCTGTTTTTATACAACAATGTAAATTTTATCTCTTTTCATACAACAATGTAAATGTATCTGTTTTTATACAACAATGTAAATTTGATCTGTTTTTATACAACAATGTATATGTAACTGTTTTTATAGATAGATTTACATTGTTGTTAAGTTTCAAATTTGGTTTGACCTGTTTCATTTCTTGATTGATATATTTATAACAGAGTTAAAATTTGTCTTTTTTTACATAAAATAATACACGTGCTAGACTATTTTTCTGTATAAATTTGAATAAAAAAACAGGTAAATAGACTGTTTTTTTTTTCTGTTCATTGGATGGTAGAAGTAAATAAAAGATGGCGCCACAATCGCTAAGATAAGTAGGAGTTGGCGATTGATTAATTGCACAATAATATTGCCAGCTGGTATTATATTCATTTAGGATCCACACAAAAGTGGAGTCAAATAAATATTAATCTAAATGCGGAGAAAACCCCCCAAACGTCCCTGTTTGACTACATCCACCGTAAGTGGCTAGTTTTTGGAAAGAATAGAACTAATTGTTATTAACAGAGAGGATATGATTAAATATATTTTCAAGGTATACTAAAACGTCTCCTATAATGATCGCATATGTATGACTAGATTAATTCATACTAGGCCTATTACAGTAAATGGTTATGTACGCGTAATTCCAGTAGTGTAATATACAGAGGGTTGAGTACGTTATACTAAAACAATCTGGAATAAGAAAATCATTGTTTGTTTGAAGTTAAGCACAAAGCTACACAATGGGCTATCTGTGCTCTGCCCACCACGGGTATCGAAACCAGGTTTCTAGCATTGTATGTCTGCAGACACACTGCAGTGCCACTGGGGGGGGGGGGCATAAGAAAATCAACAAGTTACATGAAAACGACAGTTAATATAAAGTCGTGGCGAAACCGATGTATCAGAACTACATTTTGACATTATTTGGAGTATGTAGGTAGTGTAATGTCCCCACGATTGATCGTTTTTGGGAAGGAAATATAACAGCCCTTTTTCAACGCAAACTATTCATACACTTAGATCATTTATGCATCAAGAAGTTAAAAGACTTATACGTAATGGTAATAGAAAACAATGAAATGTGGATCATCTTGAGGACCCAGGACCATCTATAAAAAGATCTACAAAAACTCGTACCGGTTGTGAAAAGCAAAGTGTGGCGTTTTGCAACAGGTGAGAATACACGAACACAAAGGTCAGGGGCAAAACCCGTGTACGTGCTCAAACAACAGCAGCAACGCAATCAACAAGAATCTAGGCCTGGAAAAGTGACATATCGGTTCAAGGGGTACTTATGTCATTCTGTATGATGACATACCTGTCCGGACTGGGTATAACCTAATGTCTACGGCGATCGACTCGTAATCTGCAGGTGGCGAGTTCGAATCCCCGTCACATTAAACATGCTCGCCCTTTCAGCCATGGGGGCGTTATTATGTGACGGTCAATCCCACTATTCTTGGGTAAAAGAGTAGCCCAAGAGTTGGCGGTGAATGGTGATGACTAGCTGCCTTCCCTCTAGTCTTACACTGCTAAATTAGGGACGGCTAGTGCAGATAGCCCTCGTGTAGCTTTGCGCGAAATTCAAAAACAAACAAACAAACAATCATAAAAAAGAAATACCCTATTAGTTCAATTGTATAAAATCCAGTAAACCTAAAATCGGGGTATTTTCAATATTATATACCCTAATCTACGAAACACTTATATATATAGACTGTACTATAACAAAATAATAAAACTTTATTAATTTAAAAAAACAAATATTGCACTTTTCGTCCATTATGGGACTGAATATTTAGTGGATTGCTGAAAATCAGTAAGGACAGTTTTTTTTTCAATTCTAAAGTGAAATTTAAACAATAATACAAACAATCTATATATATATATATTAATATTAATTAATATAAATATTAATTTGGGTTATTAACGTTTAAATTCGGCTAACTTTACCTATCGAAGTAGTCTTAGCATGAACGGTGCGACTGGTGACATCATCTAAAACTGTGACGTCACGGGAAACAGACATAACTTGGTATCGTGAATTGTCAGTAATGTCTCTTTTCTTCCTGCCGTAGGACATTCCCATAAACTCACCACAGTCAGCCTGAAAAATCAAATCAAATAAAATCTATGTTTGAAAAAGAAAAAATGAAATAAACAGGATTACAGTGGAAGATTAGCTCAAAGATATTCGCAATTCTGAAATGGCGGAGTAATACATCACGCTACCCGTTCCTCGTGACAGTTTTGAAATGTATCCTATTGCCTTGCAATACAATGAAGTATTTTATATTTGTGAGACTACGTTTTGCAGGTATGGCCGGTGGGTTTGGTTTGTTTTGAATTTGGTCGCCCTTTCAGCCGTGGGGACGTTATAATGTAACAGTCAATCCCACTACTCGTTGGTAAAAGAGTTGGCGTTGGGTGGTGATGACTAGCTGCCTTCCCTCTAGTATTTCGCTGCTAAATTAGGGACGGCTAGCGCAGATAGCCCTCGTGTAGCTTTGCGCGAAATTCAAAACAAACCAAATCAATCTTTTTTGTTTTCTATTTTCTAACTTTCTCTCCAACTGCATCGGGCCCGGCATGGCCAGGTGGTTAGGGCCCCGGCATGGCCTGGTGGGTAGAACCCCCGGCATGGCCTGGTGGG